TGTGCAAGTTCTCCCACTTAAAAAGATGAGAGAGGCCTGTAATTTTCATCATAGGTATACCTCAACTATGAGAGACAAAATGAGAAAAAAATCCAGAAAATCACATTGTAGGATTTTTAAAGAATTTATTTGCAAATTATGGTGGAAAACAAGTATTTGGTCAATAACAAAATTTCATCTCAATACTTTGTTATATACACTTTGTTGGCAATGACAGAGGTCAAACATTTTCTGTAAGTCTTCACAAGGTTTTCACACACGGTTGCTGGTATTTTGGCCCATTCCTCAAGAGCAGTAATGTTTTGGGGCTGTCGCTGTTCATATATAAATTCACAAAACTTTGGCCAAATTGTGAAGCCCTATAAACAAGCACAGCACCTAAAATAATAAAATAAAATAAAATAAAAATAAATTTTTTGCCATTTTTATCTGAAAAATAGCAATTTGATTTTTCCCTGAATTGTGCAGCCCTACATAGAGTATTAAGGTGTTTTCAAAGTTGCATTTAATATAAAAATCATAAAAATACTTTAAACTACGTGACGTTTTATTGATTAGGCCAAGCTGAATAAGTAAAGCAGAGCATCTCAACTGGATCTGCTAACCGTAATCAAACCCAACAACTTTGTTTTTATCCTACAAAAATAAACATCCTTAATCAATGCATCATGCATTAGGTACACCTGTCTTCCTTTATCATCCAATCCATTTTCAGTTGTTGCCAACTGCACAATAAACATCAATTCGTTAGCTATTCTAAAGGCCAATTCATACCGCACCGACAAACGCCGACAGACGCCAACAGACTAGTCTGTCGGAGTTTGTTGGATCAGTGTGTTACCCCTGTCGGCGTTTGTTGGGTCGGAGTTGGTTTTAACCCGATTGAACATGTTTAATCGGTGTTTGTTGGGTCGTGGAATGTCTGAGCAGTGTGATATGATTTTCCAACAAACTACAACAAACTCTGACGTAATCTGACCTAGCCACGAACCGTTGCCATGACAATGAGGCAAGACTGCAAGTAGGTGCTGGGCGCGCTTAGGAAAATAACTTTAAAAATGGCAGGTTTCTGGACAAACCAGAAAGAGGAACGTTTTTTTTTTATCTTTGAGAGGAGAGGCCAGAGCTTTATGCGGTGGGTGTGGCCGAGTATACCAACCGCAACGCGAGGGGGAATGCGATCAGATCGATCGCTACAGCGCTTGGGAAATTTCACAACGGAAATGTATTTGACAATATATTATTATTATAATAAAACTGCCTTACAATATTACCAAAGACATTAATAACAGTATCTTTTTTATTGTTGTTACAAGATCATCCATTTTTCCCCCTAGTTAATTCTCCCTGACTTGAAGTCTGTTGGTGTCTGTTGGGGCAGTGTGAACATGACAGTTATTTTTCATAAAATTCTAAATCCAGCGGCCAACGTGTCTGTTGGCATTTGTCGGTGCAGCGAGAATTGGCCTTAAAGTCTATACTGTATATAACAAGCAGATCGTTCTTGACCTCACAAAGAAAAACGAGCAGCTTGTGGAACTTCGAAATGAAGTTATTAGGTGAAAAAAAAAACTAGAGAATGTGATTGCTATCATTTTGGCTCTTCCTTTGAGCACTGTGATACTCACTGTAGCAAAATGGAAAAAATGGCACAAAGCCCAGAAACATCTAAGATCACACCATCCTATGTAATTGAGCAACTGAACAAGAGGAGCAATTGTTAAAGAAATGAACAAGACAGCAGCTACAACCCTGACAGAAGCGCAGAACATATTGGATGAAATGAGAGAAACTATCCCAACATCACCCATCGTTCCAACACTTTAAAAGAGATTCTCGTCAAGAGCGGCTAGAAAGAAGTGACTTCTGGGAGAGGCTAACATTAAGTCAAACCTGAAGTTTGCTACACGACATCTGACAAAACTGGCAATCTTTTGCAGTCTGATGGCACTAACTCTGAGCATTCTGGTCTGAAAGTGAAGTACTATATTTAGTGCAAAGCAAACCGCCCACGAAACACCATTCTGAACCAACCAGCATCATGGTCAGCAACCAGAGAAATTCAGGGTGTTCAGGGCAAAATCCTCCTCCAGCAGCACAATGGCCTATGCTCGGCATCAAAACATATACTGGAGCTGAATCGTTGCTTACTGCCTACGGTTACAAGCTAAAGCCGTCATACTCTGTATAAACAGTTTAAATTTTTTTTATTATTATTATTGAAGGAAACTAATGCTTTTATTCAGCAAGGATGCATTAAATTGATTTAAAGTGAAAGTAAAGACATTTATAATGTTACAAAAAATTATATTTCTGAATATATTTCTGAACTTTCTATTCATTAAATCCTTATGAAAAATTGTATCGCAGTTTCCACAAAAATATGAAGCGATGAAACAATTGATAATAATCAGAAATGTTTCTTGAGCAGCAAATCAGCATTTTAGAATGATTTCTGAAGGATCATGTGACACTGAAGACTGGAGTAATGATGCAGAAAATTCAGCTTTGCATCACAGAAATTGAATTATTAATGTTTTATTCTCCTTTTCAATCATCTTACCCACCATTACGTTTTTCTTCTAAATATAAAAAAAATATTCCAGGTTCAGTAAAAGTCGCAAAATTGAACATGCATATTGTTTACTTTTTTAAAGACAACCTAAGCCAGAAAAGTCAAAGGGTCAGATTTACGCAAATGCTCTTTTGCCATTAAAAATCTACTGTCAGTTATTTTTTTAGGCTGACCGTATTGCATATGCATTTGTGGAATTTTCCCTTTCAGATGCAAAATTTATGGGAGGAGAGTATTTAATGCAAGGTGATTGCCGTAGTCAGTTTACTGGTATTTGTGCCAATATTTAACACCCAAAAAAGCATGTCTTTTGCAAAAAAAAAAGCATTTTGTGCCAGTGGTGTTAGTAGACTATACACACCTAATTATCATTGGCTCTGCTTGTTTACGTCTTTGATATGCGCATTGTCAGTAGATAATCCACTCCCATCTGCACATTTATATAATTGTGATCTCACACGAATTTGCCCTGTTTAGTAAATCTGACCCTAAATGGTAACCAATGTGCCAATTGGGCATCACTTGTATTTAACCCGGAATATTGCTGAAAAAACATAACTAAACTAACCTCATTGCAAACAAACACCAAACAATCCACAAAAAATCACCAAAAAGAAGGTACGAAATGGCTCATATGAAGCACGTCGATGATGCATTAAAATGCTGCCTATGTAGGTGGCTCAAGAGATTTTGAAACAGAGCCTATTAAATAGCTTGACAAAAGGTTAGTATTCTGGAAAGGCCCTGCTAGACTTGACAGGCTTCAATCCAATTGAATTGGTGGTATGACTTGCTGAAATTGCAGTCTACTGATGCGTTACATCTAATTTGGACAAAATTATTTTAGCATTAAAATCAGGAGGAGTAGCAGGAAGAAATTCAAAGGAATTCAACAGAGGAAGTGCTTTCCGCAGGCTCTGAACGTCAGCCATTGTTGAGTAAAATTCTTGAACATACTTAAACCAAAGGAAGATAAACACAGGTCAGCTTTAAACATCAGAACGAAAAGTCGCATACACACACACACACACTTCAGCCTCAAAGTTCTCCAGAACAGTCAGCTTCACTTTTGAGTGCGATGTGCTTTCCTGAATCTGATGTAAGACATTCCAAACCCCAGGAGAACGAGGATGAAGGGATTTTTACAAGGTGTTTATTTGAAATTCGAACATTTTTGTGTCTGTGAGGAAGCGTTTTTTCTAACTGCTGGAACTCGACATTTTCTCTGATGCAAAATTTCATCTAACGCCTCCAATCACCTAGTTTCTGTGAATTGCCATGATGAAATCCTGTTGACAGCACTGATGTGTCACAGACAAAGACGGCAATCCGCTAGCTGTTATTTCAGCCACACTTTACACTCCAGCATCCCTGTTTCTGTGCATTTATGTAAGTGCTGAGTAAGATTAATCAACAACGTGTACAATTATTTTGTAACTATGCATTAAAATATGCAAAAAGCTAAAATTAATCACTGCATAGAATTTGTTAACAAAACATATTTTTGAACAGGGTGTCTATACACAAATGTACTATCTACAAAAGTGGGTAGTGGTCGACCAAATTTTTATCTTTTATTTTTTTAAATTGATAGAGAGCAGGGTAGCTGACGGCTGATACAAAGTTGATATATATGATATCACACAATTTAATTTAAACATATTAAAAGCACATACATAACTCCTAAAATTGTATTTCTATTTATTATACATATTTATATATTCACATAATAATTTGAAAATTGCTTCATTAAAATTCATTCATGAAATTGATTCATTAAAAAAAATCTGTAAAATTAACCTTTTTTTTTTTTTTTTTGACTTTTTCTCAGAATTCTGAATGTACTCTTTTACTTTTTTTAATTTAAAGATAATTTAAACTTTTTATCTCACAATTCCAAATCTTTTTTTTTTTGGGTCACTCACAATTCTGTCTTTTCTTCTTAGAAATGCGAGTTTATGTCGTAATTCACATTTCATAATTCCGAGTTTATATATCACAATTGTGAGGAAAAAGGTAATAATTATCAAAAAAGTCAAACTTACCATTTCATAACTAGCTTCCATAAATAGAAAGCAAACTTTTCAGTACATGTTTCCTTTTCTGTTTAACAGTTCTGTCTAATAATTTATTATCAGAACTGTTAAACAGAAACAGTAAATTAATGAAGAGATTGAGAGCTCAATGCACTCAGATGCTGGTGTTCTCAGCACTGTCAAAATAAATGTCCCACTTCCAACCCAATTAGAAAAACGTATCGGCCGATGCGATAATTCAAAAATCCCAAATGTCAACCAATATATTGGCCTTAGCAATATATCAGCCGACCACTGAATGTGAGTGGCACAATCGATGCAGTACATGGACGACTAAAATTCAGCATTGCTTTACACTTTTAGTGAGGAGTTTCAAAGCTATAACTGACCTTCCACTTTGATCTGGTTCCTCATGCAGTAAGGACAAGCCAAGATGCTGAACTCCTCAGCCTGGTGCATGGAGTAATCTGTGCTTGCCACCACAATCCTGTCGCCGAATGTCCAACCCTGAGGTTCGTCCGCGAGCTCCAGAATACTGCAGTTAGACAAGGTGTCTATAGAGATGGAGGCCTGTGGACGCACTGTTGAAGGACAAAACGCACACATATTTAGCAGGCACATATAACTGTCATGCCCTATATAAAGATTTATATGCATTGTTAGTCTACTCTAATCTGATCTGAGAGCCATTAAAGATGCATGAAACACGTGTGTGCATGAGCTGCATTTAATCTCATATTGTATTTTATACACGACCAGTCAAAAAGTTGACAGAAACGTTTTTCCTGAGCCAAGATCTCGTTTGTAATTAAATGATTGATAGACGATCCCCTAAAACCAATTTTACTCATAAATCAAATCCAGAAAGAGACATTTAACGAAAGTAAAGTCACTGTGAGACACAAAGTTACATGATGTATTTTACATGCCAACGTTAATGAGAACATTATTCTTACATTTATGCATTTGGCAGCTGCTTTTATCCAAAGCATCTTGCAGTTCATTCAAGCAATACTTTTCTGAAGAATCAAACTCATGTCTTTAGAGTTGCTAGGGCATCTTTTATGTATTTTTATCCCCTAAAAGAGGAACTGAACACATTAAATCTGAAGTAATGTATTTTGAAAGTATGATTAATCATATTTTTATCATGCATTCCTTGTTATGCATGAGAAAATACATCAAATAAGTTCACATGATGGCCACAATCTGTCATAATGTGATGAGAATTTTTCAAAATGTCTTTCAAAGCAAAGACAACCAGATGAAGAACGTACTTGTAATCAGCTGGAGAAACTTTCAAGCTACGTGGCAGCATGTTAGCAATTACATGAATGGCATATTATCAACTAGCCTGGGCTGAATTTTCAGACAGACAGTGGTTTGGGTTAACACAAACCACTTTCAGCCAATAAACAAGATGTTCTGATCCATTTTGGGGAAATAAAACCCTAAAACATGTGACTGAAGAATCCAATACTTTGGGCATTTCTGTGACCTCTGAGTTCACTTAAAATCACTGAAATGTGTCACTTATGGGATGTGGACCTGCAATCTTTAAGAGCAGTTTAACTTGATTGACAATAAAGTGTCTCCAGATTATGTTTAGCGGAATAAAAATCAATGTGGAAAGTAGAGCTGACAGTATATTTCTGAAGCTTTCTCATCCATTTTTGTCTAAATATGTGCACACTTTTCGACAAGTGGAGAAGCCCAAGTTGTTTGTAAACAGCTGACATTTAGCATAAATTGTCAGAGAGGCCTGAGACGAGCTGTTGAAGTGGAACTTACCACAAATCACTTCTAAAGGACGTTTTTACCAATCCTTGTTACTTTTGACTGAAATGACTTCTCAAATTCAACATCAACATCTTAAAGCAAACATCAAATGTCATGCACAAACCATATAATTCACGATCTGATGTGTTTATGAGCAAAAGCAGGACATTTAAGAAAATAAAGGACGGGACGGGGCAGGCCAGGATGGGCCTTTATCAATCAAAAAGGAAAGAAATACTAAAACAAAAATATTAATAATTTTTGAAAATCTCATCCCAAAAAATAAAATAAGTGCCCAAACCTAAATTAAAGATCAAAGGCACAGAAATAATGCATCTTTGATGAATCTATAAATACAAAAGATTTCCATAGACATCATATCGCTGCTTGCAGCTGCAATGGTGTGAACGTCGCTAACGAGTGATGAAAGTCTCAAGTACAAGCAACTGTCAAGCATGGATGTAGATCATGTTTTATTTGATTAATTGATTAACTTTTGCGATCTGATTCGTTTGATTTGATCTGTACGGGGCTATTTTCATCCATCCTACCCACATTTTTGGCTTTTGGTTTATCCACTGATGGGGGTGGCAAAATGTAGCACAGGGAGCTGCATGGAAAAAGATAAGCACTAAGACCATTCATTTTTAATGATAGAGACGAACAGAGAGTGGGTGCAAAAACTGCCCCAAATATGTGGCACACGTCCCCATGCCGTCCCAGAGGCCACTTAGACGACTGTCTGTCTGCTCAAAGATCAAAGCTTCACTAATCACTTTTGAAGACACATATTACGGCTGTTAAACAGAATAAAACAGATGGGAAATATACAATGATCAAATTACTGCAGCCTTGGTGAGCATTAAAGACTTCTTTTTTAAAATCATTAAAAAATTATAAATCTTACTGACCCCAAACTTTTGAACGGTAGTGTAATGTGTATAACAGGGTTATAGTTAACGAAAACTAAAAACAACTAAAACCATTAAAAAACTACATACAAAACAATATATATATATATATATATATATATGCATACCAGCTAGTTGCCAAGTCAACATTTCTCATTTTAATTTGGATTAACTTGATGTACAAAAATGACTAAAAGTGATATGGAAATAAAAATTAATAAAAAGTGCTATACATATAAGAAATGAACTATGACAAAAACACACAAAAAAAGTTTTCATTAAAATGAAAACAGAAAATATAGAAATAAAAACTGATTTACAATAGTAAAATACAAAAAAAAAAAAATAATTTAAATATATTAAATATATATCGTAAATAGACATTCACTGATACTAAAATAACCTGGTACAAAAGGACACCAAAACTGGAAAAAAGGTGATTTATTTAAGAATATTATAATTTTTATTATTATTTGTCTGATTAGGCTGCTACTTCCACTGTGCTGTTAATTATAAGGTTGCAACGCCTAATTTTACTTACAGTATGGAAAATATATAATTGTTTGGTCAAATATAACTGCATTTCCAAATGTTTGTTGAGACAAAGGTAAGCAGCCGTGCCATTTGACCCCATGCATAAAGAGATATGCATACTGCTGCTATTGACTTTCATTGTATGCAAAAGAGCAGCTTGAGGTACATTATACATAAAATCTTCAATTAGAGTTATAAAGGTTTGGAGTGACATGAGTAACTGATAGAAAAGAGTTTCTCCGGAAGCCAAAAGCAGACTGCTTCAAACATACCGAGTTTGCCGCACAGGAAACGCACGCGGTAGTTGTGGCAAATCCCATCCACCTGCTCTTTGTTGAGGCATACAAAGCCATAGTTTCTGTCAAACTTGGAGAAGACTTCTCCTGTCATGTTGGCAGGGATGCCGTCAAGAGTTTCAGCCTGAAGGCAAAGGAAGATATTTTTAAATACAGTGAAAAAGTCATTCTCTCACATACACAACCGTTTAAAAGTTTGTGTCAGTTTTTTTAAAGAATTTATTTATTTTATTTGACAAGGAAGCATTAAAATTATTAAAAGTGACAGGACTTTTATAATGTTACAAAATATTTCTATTTCAAATACATTTTGAACTCTGTTCATCAAAGTATCCTGAAGAATCCTTTTCACAAAAATATGAAGCAATACAACAGTTTCAACATTGACAGTAATAAGAAATGTGTCTTGAGCACTAAATCAGCATATTAGAATGATTTCTGAAGGATCATGTGACACTGAAGACTGGAGTAATGATGCTGAAAATTCAGCTTTAATCGCATGAATAAATTACATTTTAAAATATATTCAAATCGAAAACCATTATTTAAATTGTAATAATATTTCAGAATTGTACTGCTTTTACTGTATTTTTGATCAAATAAATACATTTTTTCCCCTATTTTTTTCACATTTAAAACTGTAAACATTTATTCTATGTCACTGTTTCTGCTGTGCTGAACATTATCAGGTTTTAATGCATGATTACACTTTACACAAAAAAAAGAGTATTTTGAAGTTTAAAAACAAAGCAATTTTTTTTTAAATAATACTGACCACCATATCGATTATCAGCCATAACATAAAATGTGAAAATTTTGAAACTGCGTGTAATTTGTGTAAAAATATAAGCATTTAATAATTTAGTTAAGTACACTCTCAGAAGAAAGGTAAAAAGCTATCATTTGGGTTGTACCCTAAGGTGAAAAAGCTCAATCGTACATCTTTGCACCTTATTTACCCATAAAAGGTGCATATTAGTAGCTTTTGAAAAGGTACCGCCATATAGTAACAGTTTTGTACCTTTTTTCAGAGAGTGTATGTAGTAACTTAGTATTCATATGTTTACCTCAATATCAAGAGGGTTACTGCACAGACGCTCTGGAAAGGCTTTGTGGAGGTCGGTCAGTTTCTCCCAGTCACCTGACCCCCTCTCGTCATCGCGGTCAAACCATTCAGTCCATTCGGCCTCTAAAAAAACCACACAAACAGACACGCGATTAAAGAGCTGCCACCCCTCCAGCGCTGCCCGACAGACAGGCTCTGTGTAGATATTAGTCTCATTTACATCTTTAATCTTCCTGTTTTGCAATTCTGCCTGTCAAAGCCTATTTATGCAGATATAATTACAGTTCGCCCTCTCTGTTTTGCCGTCTGCATTGCCAGACCTACAGGGAATTCAGCCTACTTTTGTTGCATTGCATTCAAATCAAACCAAACAAAATAGAAAGACAACTCTGCCACGCAATCAAAAAGACTCCTTCACTCTCCACTGCGATTAGAAATCTCAAGTGTTCGTGCTGTTTGGGGGATACTTGAAAATAATTAGTATCTATGACAAATTAAAAAGAGCCCTTCAATGCCAAAGAGCTCTCAGAAGCCACTCCAAGAGTGCGGTGGATCATTTACTGTGTATATGAACATGCGGGAAGTGAACTGTTGTCATACTGTAGTGTGTGTTGTATATTAAGCAAAATCACTCCCATGCTTAGGGTTGCACTGTGCTATTACTTAAAATGTGCAATGCACACTTTTTTATGGGTTTTAGCGGTGTTCTTGAAAGCTGACGAAACAAGTTGTTAGCATAGACATTAAAAAATGAGGCAAAATATGAATGACTTAATATATTAATCTGATTAATCTTATTCACAGGGAAAGGAGTGATATTGCAATATATGTTACCTATAACGTCATATATCATTTTCACAGTATGCACATTCTCTGTGTAGATGAATATATATGGTTATAATATACAGAAAATCCCCATAATACAATCCGTATATGTATATAAATGAATAACATCTATATAATGATTTCTTTATGGTATTATATGTAGCAACCATATGTTGTCAATATATATTTTGATGATTAAGATTTGATGATGGCTTTCCTGTGTTGGCATATTTCCCATTAAAACAGGAAGCTGGTGCAAAAGGCTTGTGAAAAGCCAGTAGCCTTAATTCAGCACGAATGTATTAAACCGATCAAAATTGAAGGTAAAGAAATGTATAATGTTACAAGAGATTTATCATTTAAATAAATGTTTTTAAACTTTCTACTCATCAAAGAATCCTGAAAAAGGTGTTTTCAAAATTGATACAAATCAGAAATGTTTCCTAAGCAGCAAATCAGCATATTAGAATGATTTCTGAAGGATCATGTGACACTGAAGACTGGAGGAATGACGCTGAAAATTCAGCTTTGATCACAGAAATACATTACATTTCAAATTATATTCACAAAGAAAGCAGTTATATAACGTTGTAATAATATTTCAGTTTATGCTGTATTTTTGATCAAATAAATGGCCTTGGTGAGAGTAAAGAGACTTCTTACAAAAACATGTATTATTATAGATATTATTTAAGAAGCATATAACATACATCTCCACATTTTTCATAAACATTAACAAATCTTGCTGGCCCCAAACTTTTGAACAGTAGTGTATATCCAATAAAAGTTAACTTTATTATGGCAATAGCATATCAATGGTCTCAAAGCTAGAAGCATTTCATGGGCCCAAACTTGTTCCCAGAATTCCAGAATAAATTTCGCCCACTTTTCCCCATCTGTGCGCTGTAATCATACGGCAGGACTTTAATTCTACATCTAAATGAGCTCATTCTCTGCCCATAATAAGATCTTGCACACTTGTTAACTAAATTATCACTTTGGTGATGAACAAACAGATGGCATCTTCAGAATGGGGATGTTCTGTGCGACTGCAAATGAGGCACTGGTTGAGGATGTACAGGTGTAAGTGGTAGGCTGGGTAATGAAGCTGCTGGGACTCGGGGGCGGACAGACAGACGTCACGCGGATATTAGCTAACAGCACCGAGGATTGTGGGATATTGGGAGAGATTCTTAGGGAGATTGAGAAATGGGAGGTGGAGGGGAACCAAATATAGCATGTTGGATCACTGATTAACATTATTTACACATCATATAGGTGAAGACTCTTCAAGATTCTGTAAATTTAATGTTATTTAATCTGCTTGTACTTTGTACTATATCCTTTTTAGAAACCTGAATATTGTACAGTTACATTAAGATTTTTGTGTAATTAAGATTTGCAAGAACGAGTCCTTACCAGCTGCTGTCTCGTCCATGTTATTCCTGAATGTTCAGTGTCACATGATCCTTCAGAAATCATTCTAATATGCTGATTTGCTGCTCACGAAACATTTATGATTATTATCAATCTTGAAAATCGCTGTGCTGCTTCATATTTTTGTGGAAACAGTGATACATTGATTTTCAGGATTCGTTGATGAATAGAACGTTCAGAATTTATTTGAAACAGAAATCTTTTGTAACATTCTAAAAGTCTTTACAGTCACTTGATCAATTTAATGCATCCTTGCTGAATAAAAGTAATAATTTATTTTAAAAAATTCTGAACAGTATATGTACTACATATAGTCTACATGTATTTTAAAGGGGTCGTGAACTGACAAATCAAAATTCTTTTGACATATAAGTGGTCATTGTACTATAAAAACATCCTGTAAATTTCAGAACTCAAAACTTTCTTGTTAGTCTAAAGCTTATATTGAAGCCAATCTGTCAAAACAACGGCTTGTGGAATGTGCCACTTTATGACGTAATAGTGTGGATAAGCACCGCCTCTGCAGAGGAAGATCAACGCCTGCTTCTACATCACTGCTTGTTTACCCCCGCCCACCGATTCATGCATGCAGTGTTTATGAGAGAGGTAAATGTGCAGGTCTACCCAGAAACCAAATGATAACAATGGCTCCAAAGACAACAAGACGCAGTGCAGTGCCAAGTTGTGGAAAAACACAGTCTTTGCATCGCCTTCCTTCTGATCCCAACATTAGGAAAGAGTGGAGGAACTTTATTTTTAATGAAGATCCAGACCACGTCAGTAAGAACTTGGCCCTTTGTTCACTTCATTTTACCGTGGGTTCGTTCACAAACAAAGCACAATTCGACGCGGGATTTTTGGAAAGAATGAAACAGATGATGCTTTGCGACTGTATTGAATCCGACAGTAATGTCGCAATGCACAAGTGTGAGGAACTGTTTTTATTACGTGATCACTATTGCTTTGCCTCTACTTACAGATCGTTTGATATGTACTGAGTGAGTATTTATGTGTTTTGAATTTAAATCACAGCAGCATCCATCCATGAAGGACGTTGTGTGTCAAACATACACAACTATTAGCCAATCACAGCAGCTGGCGTTTACTTCCGAGTCTACAGTCAGCCACGACTATTCAAACAGAGCGATCTGATGAGGGGGGTCAAAACAGGACAGAAAATAGCCTATTACTTCTAAATTATGATGTTTTGTAAAAATCTTGATAACATTATAAGTGAACCTCAGAGAACAGTACAAAATAAAAATAAAAAATGCAGTTCATGACCCCATTAAAAATCAAATATGGAAATATATTGAAATTGGCTATCATTTTATGTTCTTCTACATTTTCTTTCAAAACAACTATTTGTTGCTGGATATTGTCGTATTGCCTGGTTAAGACATGGCGTCAGACATTTTTATAAAGCCCTGCTGGAAAGGCTGGCACAGCTGGTCACCAGAACTTGCTTAACCAGCAGGACATCAACAAGAAAGACCATACCGGTCTATGAGACACACAAGTTAAAGGTATAGTTCGCCCCAGTTCCATGTCATTCTAACCCTGCATTATTCATTCTTTCTGGAAACACAACAGGAGATGTTAGACTGTGTGTCTGAGCTGGGGTTTTTTTTCTTTTTTTTTCATGTTTCAAAGGTGGAGTGTGATTTATAATGCCAAGCTTCAAAACGAACAAGAACTCAATATGAAATCACCATAAAAGTAGCTCATCTGACCAGAGGTTGTGCTACAAATAATCATTATCCGTCACTTTGACGCACCGGGTTGTGCATTTCCTGTCATGTTCTATTTTTGTCCATCTGTAAAATACTGTAATGCTTGGTAGTTTTAACGTGACACTGATATCTTCTCTTGCAGGAAAAATAACTCTTGTTCTGCAAGAGCTTTTTTTAGTTTCACCAACCGCTGAGTTGCAGGTTCTTGGCCTTTTCATTTTTCTCTACTCTCACAATGTGAAAGAGACCTTAGATTTAATGAACAATATCGCATGAATCATTCCACCGGACTACATTTGGAAACTCTTGTTTCTCTCCTCAAATCTTCTCTCATTAATTTTCACAGAGTGTCTTTTTCTTCATTTTTAATCCACTAGTATCTTTGACTGTGAGAATGTCTCTAAAGTAGAGAAATGCAATAGACCCAGTACTTCCTTTCTAATCTGTCAACATGATGGAGAATGTCAGTCAATCTTTTTAAAATTCAGTAAATGATGGAACGAGTCTTCTGAAGTCATGTGATCACTTTGTGAGGAACCAATTGACATTTTGATCTGTTACTTTCATTGTGCTTTTTGTCCATTTCATAGTCTAACAGTCTATATAATGCTGCCTCTACACTGTTATTATTTATTCTATGTAAAATACATAAACATATTCGTAACTAATGCATTTATTGTATTTATTTATTTTTATTTAATAAAATTTAAATATGGTAATATAATTTTAGTACATTTACATTTATTTGTAATAAAATATATTTTAATATGATATGAAATTATATGATATATATTATACATAAATGATATTTTAATAAATTTGCATATATGTATTTCTTATATAATAAAATATTACATATTTCAATATTATATTAATGAAAAATATATACATATGAAGACATGAACATTTTTGTGGAAACAGGTAATTTTTTGCGGAATTTTTTGAGGAAATAAAGTTCCCTTTCAGTCGGTCACTACGAGTCACGTCGTGACCGACGAACTGGGATCTCGCTTCGAGAGACCAATCTACTTCGAGTGTAACTAAATGAGCCAATGCACATTGGCATGCAATTATTGCATCCAGCTGCCGCTGATCACAGCGTGAGCATAAAAAGACAGCCGGTGCAAT